GGTGAGGGTGGCACTGTGTCCCCCCCCGTCCCCTCCTGTCTCCTGGGCCTGGCACTGTCCCCTCACTGTCCCTTCCCTGTCCTTGCCTCCCCAGGTGAGGGTGGCACTGTCCCCTTCTGTCCCCTGAGGCCAGGACTGTCCCCTCCATGTCCCCTCCCTGTCCCTGCTGTCCCCCCGGCTCTCCTCAGTGTCCCCTGAGAAGGTGACGGAGGCGTGGCAGGAGGAGCTGGAGCGGCGGCTCCAGGCGCTGTCCCTGCTGTCCCCTGGTGTCCCCTCAGTGTCCCCATGCCCTGTGTGACCCCGGTGTCCCCCCAGAAGGTGACGGAGGCGTGGCAGGAGGAGCTGGAGCGGCGGCTCCGGGCGCTGTCGGAGCTGCAGAAGCACCACGAGCTCGTCATGTGCTTCGTGTCCCGGGCCATGGGCACCTCCCGGGGCACTGCCCTGCTGCTCTCCCACAGACTGGTGAGGCTGAGCCCCCCCAGAGCCCCCCAGGGGCAGGGACCCCCGCGGTGGCACCTGGGGACACTTGGGGACCACTGACAGAGGAGTGGGCAGTGACACCCCCACCGGGCTGTCCTGGGGAGGGGCCAAAGCCCCCCAACCCCACCCTCAGACCCCTCACGTGTCCCCGGGGTGTCCCTGCCTTGTCCCACGTGTCCCCGTGGTGCTGCCCCGTGTCCCCTCGGTGTCCCTGTGACCTGTGCCCCCCCCCGTGTCCTTCCAGATCCATTCCCAGATCCAGCGGAGCCTCCGTGTCCCGGTGGAGCGTGAGGAGCCCCCGGGGGAGCTGAAATTCCAGTGGGATCTTCCCGCCTGGACCAAGAGTGCCGAGAACTTCGGTAGGGGGACACCGGGGGGGACGGGGGGTGACAGGACAGGAGGGACCAGGGGGGTGACAAGTGACAAGGGGGGTGTCAGGGGGTCTCTGGTGTCCCCACCCCCCCTGACACCCCTCCCCTCCCCCCCAGGCACCATCATCTCGGAGTGGCCCCTGCCCCGCTCTGGGAGCCCCCCCCCTGCCATGAGGCCCCGAGATCCCCCCCCGCCCCCACAGGTACTTGGGGGGCCTGGGAGGTGTTTTGGGAACCCCCCTGGCTGCCCCCTACCCCCCAGATAACCCCCTGCCCCCCCCAGGTGGTGAGCAACGGGCAGGTGACCCCCAGGCTGCTCTTTCAGCCCCCCCAGAACAGGGCTGGAGGGGGGGCACAGGAGGCCTCCTGGGGGTCCCCCCCAATTGGGCGGGAGGCTCTGGGCCCCCCCCTCCCGCCTCAGTTTCCCTCTGGGACCGAGGGCTTGGAATGTCCTGACTTGTCCCCCCCACACCTGGAGCCGCCGTCGGAGACCCCCAAGCTGGGTGAGGATGTGGGGGGGACATGGAGGGCACAGGGGGAGGGAGGGAACA